CAATCCAAGAAAAAAAAGAAGTACCAGCATTTTGATTTTCTCCCTCTTACCTCTTCAAAGCCACAGATACGGCAGCAGAAGATGCGGGAACAAGGGTGGATCTTGATCATGATTTTCCCTTCCTTCTGAGCCTTGGTAGTAAAGTACAGTCTCCCTTTCATTGCCTTGCGCCTATGAGAAACAGAATTTATTATATTTATAGCCTGCCCTTCTTGCCGAGACTGAAGGCACATTCCAAAATATACTGTTTTTACAGGACAGGACATACCATAATAAGCAATGCAAAATATGGATTAAAAATTAGAAAACAATGCGAAACTTGTGGGGGGAAATCTCATCTCCCCCACCCATTGATAAGTCAATGTATCCAGGCCCAACTGCTCACCCTGGAGCTTGGCCACAGCAGCGGCATCTGGGAGCCACTCCGAGCCTGGAGAGGCTCCCAGCCTCTGATGTGGCTGAGATTTGGTTTCTGCCGCCGCCAGGCTCGGCAGCTCCCAGCATCCACTGCGGCAGAAGCAAAGTAAGTGTGTTATCTGCGCATGTACAATGTTTTTAAATTAAAAAAAAATAATTTGGAGGAAATTTAAACATCTCAGATTTTTCTGCAAACCTCGAGTATCTCCCAAGTTTGCTGAAAAACCTATTTAGCGTCTTGGCCCCAATCTGTGAATTTAGATATCCGTAGATGAGGCCAGTGGACACACATTGCCAATATTATATAGATGTAGTACAAATAGGACAATACAGACAATAAACAGTGTCATAAACTACCATCCTATCCACTTTATAAAAGCACTTTCTTGACAGCATTTTACTATGGCCCTTTCCCCTTTATAAAAGTGACCTCCTGAAAAATTCTGTTTTACTTATTCTGTGGAATGACAGAAGTGTAAGAGGCTCCCTGACTGCCCCAGGTAGGCTATTCTACCAGGTGGGAGTCTTAGGGAGCAAAATCAGAGAGGCTGGCCATTTTTTCATTACAAATCACTAGAAGGGCTAAAAGGTGCATGCTATGTACACATAACTGCTGTCCCACTGCAGCAGTGTGGGAATTTGGATGTCATGAAGGACATAGCATCCCCAGAATTTATACTCTGTTTAAAAGGGAAACTTTCTAGCCCTTATGGCTATGAAAATCAGTGCTGGCGAACAGTACCTAGAGAAATCTCAAGAGGCAGGAGTGCACCTGGTTGGGTTCAGCACAGCTTTGCCTTTCCTGGACTGACTCTCTAACCTAAGTAGACACGCCTGATTACACCCATCTCTTCCATGAATACGTCTCGCTAATGTTGTCAGTTCCAGAAAGCTCATGCCAATGTAAAAAAAGGACCTTCACATTTACATGGCTCACATTGGCCAGACGAATGTGTTCAGGGTACTTGTGTACAGATTGGATTAGATCTTCATTTCCTGCTGTCTTCCTACAGCTCCATGAACATGAAATGTACTTAAGATTTCCTCTGTTACCACTCTTCAGTGCGTTGGATGCAAGTAAACAAGGCCAAGTGGGTAGCATTAGATAGGGAATAGTCCTAACATTGTAGGTTCAGCATCTGAGATTCTGTATCAGGCAAAGAACTGCTGAGATTTGAGTTAAAAAGGTCAGGGGCAAGCTAAATTTTTAAAAATCTTGCAAAGCATCTGAAATAACAGCAATGAGATGATAACCCTGCAAAAGCTTCTTACTTCTATCGAGGGATGCTGTCCTGCAGAGAGACACTAGCACTGTCCCTGCATACAGGAAACACTTTTCACATCAAATTCCAAAGAGCTCACAACAATGTTGTTACAAACCCACCTTTCTGAATCCAGCTTTATCAGTCTGCGAACATCTGAGCAGAACTGGACGTCAGTCACTGTGCAGCTAGGATAAGCCTCACTGTAAGAAGAGACAATCAGGATTTGGGATTGATTTATAAACCTATCTGGAAGGTACGCAACATTTCAATGCCCTTGGTTCCAATAGGAAGCTACAGGAGGGATGGGGCCACGGAAGACAGCATATATGGGGCATTCCCTCTGAAATGCTTTGCACCTGTGCCCCATTTATTTCTTTAAATATTTTTATGCACGTTTTCTCTCCTATGGGGATCCAAAGAAGCTTACACATTGACCTCCCATCCTCTGCACTATTCTCACAGTAGCAACCCTGTGAGGTACGTTAGGCTGAGAGAGACAGAAGCCCTTTTCAAACTGTCTTTGTATTCTGTTTTAGTAAATGGTTGCTAATGGATTTTTTCTGTCATTTCAGACAGACCCGTTTTAGTAACCGGCTGCTAGCAGAATTTATTTACCTGTTCATACAAACCTACAAAGCACGGTTGAGCTGCTTTTGAGGGAAGCTGCTTTCTTCCATTTTCTACCCCTTCATTGCGCTTCTGAATTGCTGTGGTGTGCTGTTTAAAATGTCCATAGCGCTTCCTACAATGCCACTTCCCCACCACCCTTTTTCGCCACACGATCTTCTGCAGTCTTTTTTTAACGTTCCAGGTTGAGCGCTATAGTGCTAAACTAATATAGCACTTCAGTGCTGTAGCAGCACCAGTGAGATGTTAAAAAAATCCTCAGAGAAAAATCGCATGGCAAAAAAGGGCAGGTAAAAAGCGGCACTGTTTGAAATGACCCTAAGCGCTTCCCAGACAGCTCATTAACAGAAGGAAATTTGCTGTATGAAACCTCCATCCCTGTATTACTTTACTCAAAACTGGGCCAGCAATGAATATCATCCAGTTTAGAACAGTAATTTGAAAAAGGGTCAGTGTCAGGCCCTTTCTCACCCAGCAAACTTGCACAACAGCGCAGGAATCCGAATCTGTGAGTCCCATATCCTAGGCCAGCACTCTAGCCATGACACCACACTGGCCCTCAAAGTTTACTGGTTAGTACCCATGGTGCCAACAATTCCTTCTTTAACTATTTTAAAGCAACTCCTCCTATGTTAATGCTTAATAATACTTAGCATTTATATAGTATATATAAATATACTATATTCAGTATTTAGAGTACTTCACTAACATTATTTTGTTTTCATCCTTACAACAGCTTCATAAAAGTAGGCCAGTTTTGTTCTCTCCATATTGCTGCAAGACAGTGACTTCTCTAAGGCCTCCTAGTGAGTTCAAGGTAATGGTGAGATTTCAACCAGGGGCCTCCAGACCACAATTCATTCTCTTAGATGTTATGCAACATCAAGTCATTTCAGAGGAAAGGCTCCTGCGCCCAACCTATGGCCATATACCTCACATTCCAGGAACTGTTCGATGAAATGGGAGAAATCAATGCTTCAGTTGCAGCAAAGGACAAAATAGCACAGAGTGCAAAAGGGCTGCTTCTCTGGCAGAAGTTGGCACTGTCCCTGCTTAGCAGACCACAGGGGCTTCTTATTAAGCCCGTTCCAATCAAGGCTGGTGGTGAATGGGTCAGACCCATTCACATGTTTACTACTGGGAAACTCAGCCACATGTATTTATTTTTATTTTACAAAATTTATATCCCTACTTTCCACCCTCACAACAGTCATCAAGGTGGCTAACACGCTAAAATACATGATTAAAAATACATTTAAAAACCATTAAAATCAACCTCCCCTCAAAAATCCCCACATTAAAAAATTAAAAACACAGCTAAAAAAGTATGGAAACATAAAAACAGCTACTGAAACACTGGTCAGGAAAGAAGGCTCACTGAGGGAACATCTTCACCTGGTAGCAGAAGATGGCAACAGAAGGGGACATATGACTCTCCCAGGAGGAAGAGTCCAAGAGCTTTGGTGCCCCAGTTGAGAAGGCCCTCTCCTGGGTTGCCATCCGCCTAATCTCAGGCACCATTTGCAAGAATGGACAGAGTCATGTGTATATTTCACAGTTTAAACTCTAGTATTCCTTGTGCCAGGGCCGTGGTGGCTCAGAGGTTAAGACGCTGAGCTGCAGACCGGAAGGTCGGTAGCTTGGCAGTTCAAGAACCCAGTGCCGCGTGACAGAGTGAGCTCTCATCCCTGGTCCCAGCTCCTGCCAGCCTAGCAGTTCGAAAGCAAGAAACTGCAAGTGGATAAATAGGTACCACTTTGGTGAGAAGGTAACAGCATTCCGTGTGCCTTGGCATTTAGTCATGCCGGCCACATGACCACGGAAACATCTTCGGACAGCGCTGGCTCTTCGGCTTGGAAATGGAAATGAGCACCGCCCCCTAGAGTCAGATTTGAGTGGCTTTCAAGCAAGGGAAACCTTTACCTTTACTATTCCTTGTGCCATTAAAAAAATAACTTGTGACTGTGCCTTCAGTAACTGACCAGCAGCTGGACTAGACAAAGGAAGGAAAACAAGGATATGTTCAGAGGCAAAGAAAGTGCCCCCCCGGGGGGGGGATGTACTTACTGAAAGTGTTTGATGACAAGGGATGGGTCAGTGATCTCTTTTGGGATCCCAGTCACCATCAATGTCCGGGCCACCTGAGGCAGGAGAAAGGGAGACCGCTTGACATGGAGGCACCTAAAAGCAGCAGGGCTCAGGCAGTTTTGCACACAGGCAGGATGTCTAGAATCCTGCACTAACAAACCCCAGTTCTGCAATTGGAAACACTGTCGCCAGAGGAACATAACTCTAAATTTGGAATAAATGATGGACTGTTTCCTACATTTGGTATTCTTTTACTTATCCTTTTTCTCTTTGTTGACATCGTTTTATTTGGAAGGAGCAGGTGGGCTGGAATGCCAGGAGTACAATAAAAGCATAGAGAAAAATAGCCAGGGATTGGAGGCCTCTGGAGACTATTTGGGAAGGATGTAAAGAATGAGCCCTGGGCTCTGCATCCCACCCCCCCCCCAGAAAACCCTACTACGGCGTGCTAAAGTCACAATTCACATTAAATTACTTGGAAATCAGTGGCACTATAACACCTCTGTATACTCATGGATTTCAACAGTCCTTCAACATGTCTCATTTTCTCTGGCTTTTAGTCTAAACATTCAACAGAAACCAGTTACATATCTTCAACAGACACAATCTGATGTAATGAGGTCTAGAAATATAACTTCTTAATCCAGTAAACCTCAGATAGGGGATTATTCCTAATGCAAATCTTCCAGCAGTATACCTCCATCAACTCATAGCTCCAAATTTGCGTAGAGCCATATCCTTAGAGACCCCTGATGATTTTAAGCTCCTTTTCTTGCTCGATAACTCAGATACAGAAATAACTGAAATAGCAGCAAAGTTTCTCTGCAGTGCCATAGCCCTACGGCCTGATAAATGATATTATGAATTAGGTTTTTTATGATGATACTCTGTGATGTTACTCAGCAATTTTAATCTGACTCTGTATGATTCTGTACTTAGATTACTGTATCTTTATTTATATGCCAATAAAAGGCTTTGGATTGGATTGGTAAACCTCAGATAATCGAGATTCTGTAGAAAGGAACTACCATTTAAAAGCATAGCTTGGAATTTAAAAAATGCAATCATAGCTTTGCAGAATCCTGGATCCCCTGCATTCCTGAGATTTCCTACACCTGCTGAGTGCTGAGGCAAGCTGCTAGTGTGATCAAAACAGAGTATGGTAAAAATTGGATGGCTTTCACAACTGTTGCCAGGCATTCAACTGGAGACGCAGCCTGTCTTCCTGAGAACCTGGAGGCAGCGAGAGTGTGAGAATATGCAGCAACTTCCTGCTCAGTTGCCCCTGGATTTCCTCTCCCCCACCAGCAGAGGAGCACAATTAGAGTCCTTCCTGCTCTAGTCCTCCTCTCTGCTGTCAAACTCTGATTCAGTGATAGGCACGAATCCCTAGCAACCCTCGGATACCCTGGAAACCTTGTTGGTCTTTAAGGGGCTACTGGACTTGAATCTGGTAAAACTAGATTTTGGTATACAAAGCACAGTTGTACCAGAGCTGCAGTGTCTGAATTCTCACAGTTTCTTGGGTGAGGGTCTGAATAAATAACCCCACGATTTGGAAAAAAAACCCAAAGGGTGAAAAGAGGTAAGTCTTCTCTTGTCTAAACTAATCTAATCTGGGGAACTGGGTTTGATTCCCCACTCCTCCACATGAAGCCAGCTGGGTGGCCTTGGGTCAGTCACAGTTCTCTCAGAACTCTCTCAGCCCCACCTACCTCACAGGGTGTCTGTTGTGGGGGAGAGGAAGGGAAGGTGAGACTCCTTTGGATAGTGAAGAGTGGGGTAGAAAACCCAACTCTTCTTCTTCTATGCATGGAGAAAGGAACATAAAAGGAGTTCTAATTCTTGTCCACAGTTTTAATTAAGGACCTATTCAAGTGCCTCAGTGGTCACTGGGATCCGATTCTGGATTCCCTAACAGAGAATTCTTAGCTGGCTGGGATGGATTAAAATTAATTTCCCACTTTTAAAAAGCTATTTGGGAGATATCTACTTCCCATGTTCAGCTATTTCAGGATTTAACATATGAGTCGTTCATATATGATCCTTCTATTGTGTGAAAATGTTTATCTCATTGTTCGTCAGAGCAATCCAATGAATCCTTTCTATTGAATGGATCAAGAACTGAGGCTGAAGATCCCTTTATCAATCTGTTCCTGCTTCCTGTACCGGGTCTGGAGAGGGAGCTTCACTTGTCCCTGCCATGACGAGAAATTCAAGCTTATTCATGCCTGTGTGGGCAGAGCTGGGCAAGCTCCCTATTTGGCCATCACATGGAAATAAGCACTGAGGATAGCGATAGGATACTGTTAAAGATCTGAAGCTGCCTTCTGAGATTGTGCCTTCTCTAAAGCGGGATTTCAACCCACTGTTCCTGGAGCAAAATCCAACATTCTAATCACTGGACGACACTCAGCTCAAACATTTGGTACTTAGTTTGACAACAATTAAAACTGATCAGAGTCTCTTTGAAAGAGCAGAAAGGGAGGGAGGGATGGAAGAGGGCTAACATCTTACCTTCTCATTCTCCTTGTAGTCAAGCTGGATGGAGTGATGAGCCATGCAGAGGACGGTTATAATGAAATAGAGGAGGGCAAAGATACTGTGCAGCCACAAGAGTCGGTCACTGCCAGAGACAAAGGAAAGAGATCTGTTATCCAGGAAAGCAAGGGATCTTGTCTGCAAGATAAGGGAACAACAGTAATTTCCCAGTACATGCTGATCATCTTACTATCATAGTTCCATGGTAGAAGATGTAACCCAGAAGGACCCTGAATGTATGCATGCTATTATACCACCATGGAAAAACTAACCAGGGCTCACTCAGAGTAGGCATTCAAGTAAACTGTTCAACAGTTCAGTGGTTTCCTGAGTCTAACTCTATACTGTAAGGTAATCCCACAACAGCTTTTGTGCATGGACATGGAGGGGGGATCTGGCCCATACAGAGTCCTGCAATTAAACAAAAAAAAGGTAGACAAAGAGCATAGTGCATAGAACAGTGGCCTTGAAACTGTTCACACTTCGTCTTCTCTCCATCCATTCCCCCCGCTTTGGGGGGCTTGGAAGGAGAAAACAATCCTTTTATTATATACCACTGAGTCTTGCAGCTCATACCTACACGCATAGCAAATGTGAACACACACAAACGGATTGTAGTGGTAATAAGGTATCTTTCTGAGTGAGCCTGGAAATGCAAACCAAGGTCTGTCTGAACACAAATTGGCCTCGTTCACTCCCAGCAATCATCACTAGAAGCTACAAATGGCAGATCAGAAGGTTGGAAATACATACTCTTTTGGAACATTGGCAATTGTGGTTCGGCCAAAATTAGCTGGATGCTTCCCTGAAAGAGAGAGAGGGAGAGAGAGAGAGAGAGATGAGAAAAATCAGAAACATGTAAGAACATTTTCATGGAACATTTATATATATTAATTTACTTACTTACCCCACTTTTCTCTCCAACAGGGACTCAAAAGCAGCTTACAAAAAGTTTAAAGCTTGCAATTTCTCATTTTGCATTTAATGTTATATGTAGTCAAACGGTAACATTTTATGGATTTAGTATACTAGGAATCACAACCAATTAAATAACTAAAATGCTTTAATCAAGTACTCATTAATAAATTAATCCCGAGATGGTCTTTTGGAGGCCTATAGTCTGCATCTGGTCTCTGAAGAAACCCTTTCTGATTCTCCAGTGGCCTTATCCAATTTTAATCAAGATGTGGCTAACCCTCTTTGTTCACAGTTTAACATTTAAGGGAAGTTTTAACATTTCATATTTACTTTTTATTATATCATTTTCTCATTTGCATGCTGGAAAGGCAAAGAACCACTGGCAACCTGCCTCTTGAGGAGACCTTTCTGGAAGCATGTTTGTTCTTCAGCACTTCAATTAATGAACTCATATCATTAGAGTTTATAAGCTCCACATCTGTGAAGCCCTTTCTGCGGAGGTTGGATTGTCTGTTCCCTGAGCTAGTGATTTAAGAACAGAGAAGCTGGTTGCCCCTGACTGATTCATTTATTAAATGAATCTGCATATTGCTAAAACTCAATACAGGCATCAGTTTGGGGAAATTTAAGATAATGACTTACAACACATTTTTTTTTTAAAAAAAGCTTCCACTCTGTTTGAAGGAAATGCCATCGTGAAAATTTGCCATTTGATACACCAGGTCTGAACCAGACTCACTGACTGAGCAATCAATGCTTAAACTGATCATGGGAGCAATCTTAAGGAGGTCTGTTCAGAAGTAATTCCCATTTTATTCAATGAGGCTCATCCCCAGGAAAGTGTCCTTAGGACTGCAGCCTAAATCTACTGGCATGTATCCTACTTTAGGCTGGAGAAACTTTCTTTGACCTAAGGTAGGGTTGCCAGACCCCTGGCTGGGGTGGGTTTCCCCCCCAATTTCCAGGGCTCCAATCCATTGGTGGCCAGCTGGCATATAACACAACAGTGCTCTAGCATTTTGGTCAAAACTCTATAGTAACCATAGAGTTTTGACCAAAATGCTAGAGTGTTGCTGTGTGACATCATTGTGCTGACAATGTCATGTGCAGTGATGCTGCCCCACCTTCACCACTCCTGGAAGGTTCCCTCCCATCCTCCGCCAGCCGAGTAAGTAGACCTGGCAACCCTAACCTAAGGAGCTATTTTTCCCCCTATGGCCAAAATCATGAAGACTGTCTAGAGTCGGAAAGCACACATGCAATACTAACTGATACCTCTAGGAACTATAATTTGAAGGAAATGTACTTATTTCTCACATTAGAGTACTTATTTCTCACGTTGAACATTTACTTCAACTCAACTCATGTTGCAACCAGAATCAAAACAAAATGTGCTCCTTGTATCATTCGTGTAAGTGCTATGAATGATTCAAGGACAAAACTTCTCTGGGCCAGATGCCTGACTGACTTCCAGATGTTTCCTCTCTTCTGTGATCTTCACCAAGCACTCTCTTGGCCTCTCTCAGCTACCCCCCACCCCCAAAAAAGTTTCTTTAGCAATTGTCCAATTTCCTCAGCATGACTACTCATGTCAGAAAGACTCTCTGGAATTCCTTTGGAACCTTCAAATCCAGTTCTAGATCATCAACACATCCCAACAGTTATCACTGATGCCCACCCAACATATTGCTGGACTCTGCGCCCTGCTGCCTTGGTGTTACCCAGGTGAATCAGAATGCCACATACCCAGGAGGTCTCCAGAGAAGTTGACTGGAAGGATGACAGCCACAGAGAGCACACAGATGATCATAAGCAGCACCAGTATGTGCCGTTGGAAAGAGAGGTAGGTGGTGGCATCAATTCCACATTTGCTTTGAATTTCCTCATCCCTAATGGTTGTGTGGAGAGATGAAGGCATGTCATTAAAATCACATATTATCACCCATATTCCCCTTTCTTTTTCTGAGAAAATACACTGTCAAAACATGAAGAACAAATTCCCAGTTCCCCACTCATACCAGAGCAAAATGGCTCTTTATTGAGATATGCTGACAGCCAATGGTCTTATTACTGCATTTTATCCGGTATGACATCTTTTCTGATTTGCTCCACTAGAAGGGCATATACAACCAATGAAGAACAATATTAGCAATGTTTAGATACATGTGTGATCCCCACAAACAGGCAGAGGGGAGCTACATCTCGGGCCCACCGCTCCCTTGACCTGCCTCCTAATGTCTCCCATCAGTGTCCTCAGAATCTGGTGAGGGGGTTCTCCAGCACCTTTCTCATAAGTCCTTGCTCCATTTAAAATCAGCCTGACAGGCCACACACACCTCCTTCCCAGCCCCTGCCCTCTCCGGAGGAGCCTTCTGCTCATGAGAAGCAGGAAGCCAATCAATCTGTGGCTGTGACAGGGACTCTCCTCAGGCTGCCACCAATCAGCTGTTGCAAAAACTGATTTGTAAAGGGGTTGGGCTCTGATGGCCACTCAAACCTTTGCTCCACCCCATGGCTACCCCATTTAAAAATGTAGCTTTGGCAGCAGCTGACACTACAAAACAAGGATCTTCACCATGTGACTGGAGGTAAATTATGGCTGCCATTTTGTGGCTGGTTCTGCCTCCTGTGGCAGCCATGTTACGCTACGTCAAAACTCTAAAGGTACCTGCAAGACCAAAAAGGTTGGGGACCCCTGAGTTACAGCAATGACATTCATTTGCCTTCAGAACACTGCATTCTTCTGGCCTTATATCTCCCCACCCTCATTATGATGATGTCTCTGAGACTTGCACACTGATTCACTCTTTGGGGGTGGGTGTCCTCAAAGACAAATCCAAGGTTAAGTGAATGGGAGGGAATAAGAAATGAGGTAACTTGTGTGAGAGCCAGTGTGGTTGTAGTGGTTAGAGTGTCGGACCAGGATCTGGGAGACTGAGGTCCGAATCCCCACTCTGCCATGGAAGCTGGCTGGATGACCAGGGGCCAGTCATACACTCTCAGCCTAATCTGCCTGACAGAGTTGTTGTGAGGATAAAATGGGGAAAAATAAGCTGCTTTGGGTCCCCATTGGGGAGAAAGGTGGGGAATGAATGAAGAAAATGAATGAAGAAAATAAATAAAATAATGTGTTCACTGTGATGTGCATGAAGGACATCAATGTGCTGTTTACTGACCTCCCACTCTCTCCAACTGTAACAAACCAGCATTGTTTTTTAAGCTACAAAGGTTTTTAGCAGTCTTTCAGGTGGCATAAGACCTTTTCAGGAAGATTTTCCCGGTCTTGGCGATTGCCATGGCAGTTGCTTTTTCCCGGACCTCTGGGAGAAGCCTGCCAGCGCCCACGGCTGGGAGGGGGCACGATAGTCCGCGCCACCCCAGGAGCCCGAGTGAAGGGCTCCAAGCCATGGGGCACTAGAAAGCCCCCCTCCAGCAAGACAAGCCGGTGAGGGGGGGCTACTCCAAGACCCGAAAGGTCCCGCTGTGGAGCGTCCTGTATGGGAACAAGATCAGCACACCAGAGCAAGCGTTTGGTGATCAAGCGATTTCAGACACAAGCGAACAATCGTTGAAAATGTGAGTTTATGTACAAGCGAGAACAATGAAAAACCGCATGGCCCTCCCGAAAGAAAACAAGGGAGGGGAGGGGACTCTCCTCCGCTAAGAACTGTTTACAAGCGATTTTAAGCCAAAAAAGGGGGGGCACTACAAAAAGCGAACGGATTAAAATAATGAGACTGTAAGAGCTTACCGCGTGATATAAGAACTTCCAGAGACTTTGACAAACTTTTAATAAAAGTAAATAACTCTCAAATATGGCGCCGCTTGTGAAGGACCAGAGAGACAAACAAGAAGAAGAAGAAGAAGAAGAAGAGGAAGAAGAAGAAGAGGAAGAGATTGGATTTATACCCCGCCCTTCACTTGGGAGTCTCAGAGCGGCTTACAAACTCCTTTCCCTTCCCCTCCCCACAACAGACACCCTGTGAGGTGGGTGGGGCTGAGAGAACTCTGACACAAACTGCCCTTTTTCAAGGACAGCTGTGCCAGAGCTTGTGACTGACCCAAGGTCACATCAGCAGGTGCAAGTGGAGGAGTGGGGAATCAAACCCAGTTCTCCCAGATTAGAGTCCGCACACTTAACCACTACACCAAACAAGCAAAAACAAAGCTTCTTCCCAGGAGTTCCAGCCCTGCGAGTTCTGTGCCTAGACAGGACTCAGCTGCGGAACTCCAAAGGCTGTTGTCGGAAGCACTTCGCCCCCTACTGGATAAAATTACAGCAATTGACAATAAACTCGATACACAACAAGCACAAATAGCTGCAAATACACAGAAAATCGAAAAAACGGAGCAAGACTTTAAAGAGATTGATACCAACTCAAAAAAGATGAATAAAAAACTATAGGCTTTGGGGAAAAAATGCCAAATTGAAGAGTCTCGAGTATTACAGCTGATAATGGAAAGGGCAAGCTATGTCTTGAGACTTCAAGGTGTCCAAGAAGAGAAAGGAGAGAATCTGAGACAGATTGTTGGCGATGTATTAGCTCCCTTGGCAGAGATGACATTGGATCAATTTCAAAGCGAAATTGATACGGTCCATAGATCGTATACAGAATTTATCAGGAAGAATAATCTGCCAGGGGAAGTTACAATAATATTCTCCCGAAGAAAAGTGAGAGATCAACTATTGAAAGCATCTAATGGAGAGACCTTGAAGATAAAAGACAAAGACATAAGAATACTGAAAGATATTCCATTTGAGATAAGAAGGAAAAGAAGGAAATACAGAGACTTGGTTTTATTTCTACAAAAGCACAATGTCTGTTACAGATGGCTAACACCCGAGGGATTAATCTTTAGATATGCAAATGGAAAAGAAAGGATTGACTCTGTTGAAAAGGCTTGAGGGTTTTTGCGTCAACATAGCAGCCCAGCAGGAGAAGGTGCGACCAATGCTGCCAAAGAAAGCGAAGAAGGAGAGGCTGGATCTTCCGAAGAAGACTCTGACTCTAAATTGCGGGCTGCTGCCCCCAAACAAAGCTATCAATTGAGACACAGAAAGGGGAAAAAATAGATTGTGAATCTACTCTGGAGTATCTAAAACAAGTATATTGTATATCTTTTCATAGTCTTTTTATGAAACTAGAATTGTTGATGAATCTCTAAATGTTTAAATAGATAGATGATCATTTTCAACTA